CCAAAGTACTTCTATGCATATATGCATAACCAATGGACACAGACAATAGTGTGGGGAAGGCAGGAGGGGGGCGGGAGTGAGGAGGAAGGGCTCAAGGAAGGAAAAGGGGGGATATCTGTAATACATTCAGTAATAAAGATAAATTTTAAAAGAAAAAAAATTATACCTTCCAAATAGTTAGACACAAATATGTGAACCTCCATTTATATTTTGCTCTAAGTCTCTGAAATGCTATTTACAGTCCTACTTAGCCTGAGTCCATCAGTTTCCCTTTGGAAAATTATGCAAAAAAATCACAAAATGCAGATAAGTTCAAAACAGATAAAATCACCTATTAATCTAAAACCCATAAAAAACTATTAACATTCTCAGAGTATACATCAGTTTTTGTTTGGTTGGTTTTTTTATCCTCACCTGAGGACATTTTTTCTATTTTTTGTTCAGATAGAGTGGGAGGAAGAGAGAAAGAGAGAAACATCGCTGTGAAAGGGACACATCGAGTGGCTGCCACCCGCACAACCCAACCAGGGCTGGGGACAAACTGCAACAGAGGTACGTGCCCTTAGCAGGAACCGAACCCGGGTCTCTCTGGACCGCAGGCCGGTGCTCTAACTGCTGAGCCAAACTGGCCAGGGCTATACATCAGTTTTTACATAGGGGTCATTTAAATATATACTTTTCTTCATTAAAAGGTATAATATGTGCTTATGAAGCCTATTTTCCTCAGATAAGATATATGCTGAATTTTTTTCCAAGTAAATAAGTGTAGATACCCATCAACATTTTCAAGAGTTGCATAACATTTCAATGTGTAAACATATCCTTAATGTGTTTAGTCAAGTGCCTATTTTGAGACACTTGGTCATTCCCAATTTTTCATACTTCAAAATTGTGTGAAACCTTATACAAGCCAATTATTTGATTACTCCCTAAGGATACATTTCTACTGGTGGAATTACAGCATCAAAGAGCATGTACATCTTGAGGACTTCTGAAATATGTGCCCAAATGCACCTTGTACCAGTGTATGCTCCCACCAAAACTTTGAGAGTGCCCCCCCCCCTTTATCACTCTCTGGGTTGGTGAGGGGGTTCTTCCTCATTATGAATGACAATAACTCTCTAGGTGGTTTCATAAAGGCTCTGCTTCAACCAACCTTATAAAAGAAATCTGATAGAAACACTAAAATTATTTTTTATGCTATTGTATTTTCTTATTTCAAAATAGTAACTAATTCACTCACTTTATATAGATAACAGTTGTTCAAGATGGCGGTGTAGGTTAAAGCGGTACTCTCCTCCTCCCACAACCACATCAAAATTATAACTAAACTACAAAACAACCATCATTCAGAACTGCCCAAATTCTGGCTGAATGGAAGTCCTACAACTAGGGAATTAAATAAAAAGCCACAGAGACTTGTAGGAGACAGAGGTGAGAAACAGGCTGATCCCACACCCATGTGTGGCGGTTTTTAATCAGGAGGGATATCTTGGCTGTGGAGGACTCCTCTGAGGGGCAAGGGGTCCTAGCCCCACACCACACCTTTCAGCGCTGGGTTCCAGTGCCTGGAAGAGGAGTCCCCATAACTGGGGATTGTGGCTGAGTGACACTGAGGCTGCTGCAGTCTCAGACAGTTCCTCTTAAAGAGCCCCCACATGGACTTACTTGGACTCACTCCGCCTGAGCTCCAGTGTTGGGGCAGCAGCTTAAAAGGAACCAGGCACATAAGGGGAGGAACTAACTTTTCTGGCATCAAAGCAAGAGCTGGGGGGGCAGCTTTCTACCAGACAATAATGCTGGCAGAGGCCTTTGTTCTTTTGCTGAGTCCCCCCCCCCCCCCAGCCAACAGACAGGCACCATATCTGAATCTCCATTAACCTGGCCTACACTGTTCATCCTGCCCTGGTGATTCCCTGAGACCCTGCCCCACCCAACTTGCAAATTAATCCAAGCTGTTTCCAGTGGCTTTTCCATATGAATGGTCTGTCTTGGCTCATGCTTCAGACTTTCCTAAAATCCCTCTAATAAGCAACAGCTGGCCTCAGTATGCCCTGTACCCCTCACTAAGTGGCCCCAGGCCTGGCACTAGAGGCAGCCTGCCTTGGTTCACAGCTTGGCCTCCCCCAGGCACCTCCAAGCCCAGCACAAATAGCAGCCATCTGCAGATCACTCTGTAGCTCATGGCAGGTGGCCCTAGTCAGGGCACAAGCAGTGGCCAACTTTGAACCTCCCAGGAGGCCCAAGAGCCAGTGCACCCAGTGGTCAGCTTCAGACCACACCCGATTACAGCCCTACCACCTCCATGAGTGACACACTCAAGGGGTGGACTCAGTGAGCACCAAAGCCCCAGTGAAGCAAATCCTGCTCCACAGGGTTGGCTCCTACACAGACGCTCTTTATCTGTAGTAGTAGCTGGTCCTCACAACAGATTGGCCTGGAGGTCAGTCCCTCCCAGTGACACCAACAGCAATCAAGGCTCAACTACAATAGGAGAGTGCACACAGTTCACACAGGAGTGCACCTGGAGTGCCCAGCTAAGGTAGCTGGGGAGGCTGAGCCACTGGGCCCTACAGGAAACCTACTACACAAGGCCACTTTACTAAGTCCAGGAGACATAGCAGCTGTACCTAATACACAGAAACAAACATAAGGAAGCAGCCAAAATGCAGAGACAAAGAAACATGTTTCACGTGAAAAAAAACAGGAGAAATCTCCAGAAAAAGAACTAAATGAAATGGAAGCAAGCAAACTACCAGATACAGAGTTCAAAATAATGGTTATAAGGATGCTCAAAAAACTTACTAAGAACTTCAAGGAATTTAGTGAGAATTTCAAGGAACTTGGTGAGAACATCAACAACATAAAAAAGGACCAGTCAGAAGTAAAGGATACACTAACTGAAATGAAGAATAATTCATAGGGAATCAACAGTAGAGGACACTTGAGAATCAAATCAGTGATTTGGAATATGAGGAAGAAAAGAAAAAAAACTATCGGAACAGCAAAAAGAAAAAATATTCCAAAAATATGAGGACAGTGTAAGGAGCCTCTGGGACAACTTCAAGCATATCAACATTTTTATCATGGGAATGTCAGAAGAAGTGAAGGAGAAGAAATTGAAAGCTATGTGAAAAAAATAATGACAGAAAACTTCCCTTACCTGGTGAAAGAAAGAAGCATACAAGTCCAGGAAGCACAGAGAATCTCAAACAAGATGAACCCAAAGAGGTCCATACCAAGACACATTATAATTAAAATGCAAAAAGTTAAAGACAAAGAGAGAATCTTAAAAGCAGTTAGTTACCTACAGGGAACGCCCATAGACTGTCAGCTGATCTCTCAACCGAAACTTTGCAGGTCAGAAAGGAGTGGCAAGAAATATTCAAAGTGACAAAAAGCAAGGACCTACAACCAAGATTACTCTATCCAGCAAAGCTTTCCTTTAGAATTGAAGGTCGGATAAAGAGCTTCCCAGACCAGAAAAAGCTAAAGGAGTTCATCACCACCAAACCAGTAGTACATGAAATGTTAAAGAGTCTTCTTTAAGAAGAAAAAAAGATAAGCAAAATATAAACAGTAAAATGGCAATCAATACATAGCAACAACTGAATCTAAAAATCAAAATAAATGAATGAGTGGAACAGAAACAGACTCATAGATACAGAGAACATTTTTTTTAATCTTCACTTGAGAATATTTTTCCATTTATCTTCAGATAGAGTGGGAGGGGGAGAGAGAGAAACATCAATGTGAGAGAGACACATCAATTGGTTGCCTCCCCCACGATCCCGACCAGGGCTGGGAACCGAACCACCACCATGGTATGAACCCTTGGCCAGAATCAAACCCGAGACTCTGTGATCCATGGGCCGATGCTCTAACTGCTGAGCCAAACTGGCCGGGGCATACAGAGAACATTTTGATGGTTTCTAGAGGGGAGGGGGTTTGGGGCAATGGGAAAAAAAGGTGAAGGGATTTATAAGTACAAATTAGTAGTTATAGTATAGTCATGGGGGTGTAAAGTACAGCATAGGGAATATAGCCAATCATATTCTAATAACTATGTATGGTGTCAGATGGGTATGAAATTTTTCAGAATAATCACTTACTAAGTTATATAATGTCTAATCACTGAGGTGTACACCTGAAACTAATATAATATTGTTGTCAACTGTAATTGAGAAATAAAAAATGATTTTAAAAAAGGAAAGAGGATGTTTTCTATCAAATGTCCCCAGGACTCTAAAATAAAATTGTCCTTCCCTGTAGTCTCCCAGAATAGGTCCCAGCACTTCATGCAAGGAGACTCTCACTTCCTTCCTCCCCTGATCATTTCCATGACCAGCAGTGACATCTTGTACTTAGACTATGGTGGTAACTTCCTAACTGGTGTTCCAATCTTCAGTGGCCAGTCCTGTCCCCTTCCCAACTCAGACTCATCCTGCACACAAATCAGCCACATTGTTTCCCTTTCATCTTGTCACTCCCATGGTCATAAAAGGCTTTGGTGTCTCCAAGGGTTGGATGGAGTAATATGCAGACACCTCAGTGTAACAGTTAAGGACCCTCCATGAGTGGGACTCACCCCAACTCTGGACTATATTTCTCATCATTCTCTTTCCCATACTTTGCACTCAGGCAGGCCAGCCCCCTCTCTGGAGCAGGATTTCCATCTCCATGCCTTTCTTCCCACTACTCCTCCTTACTCCAATGCCCTCCTGCCATTTTTATCTTATCCTTCAAGCCCAGCTTACTTAAATGTCCCCTCTTCTGTAAAACTTTCCTTGAGCACTGCTCCCTGTAGAATTTTCTGCCCTGATGGGAAGGGTCTGGCCATGATCAGAGACTCCTGGTTTTGTTAGTTTTGTTTTGATACATCCTGCCTTCCAAAAAGATCATAAACTCAAGGACAAAGACGTGTCTTTTTTTCTGCTTAAAACACAAAACTTTATTGATGACAAAAATAAAATCTCAAATGTATAAACATAAGTCCACACAAAGGACCAAAGATTACCTTACTTATAAAGAATTGGCTTAGTTTCTGCTCATGAAGCATACTAAAAACATCTTCAGACAAGGTAAAAAAATCAACACATGTATTTTCAGTACAAGTTTGAATCAATTTGGTGTTCATAAAATGATGCAGCTATAGATCATCATAGGTAACATCAGTATTGAAGTTATAATGCATTTTACAAAGTGCATTACCCCCAGGCTGCAAAACCAAAATATCACTTAGATGAAAACACACAACTAATCAGAGTTTACTTAATAAAAGCTCAACTCTTTCTTTCACCTCAGGGTCATTGTATTCTGCTGCTAAGACTCGAAGTTTCTTAGCACATGCTTTAGGTCGCTGGAATACGAAATAAAGGGAATTTTTACTGAACTTGTCCTGGGTAAATACTCTTGCTCTTCTTTTAAAATGGTAATTTATATTTTCAAATAGTGAAAGAGCATTAAGAATATTCTCTTTTGTCTCTTTCTTGCTAAAGATATTAATTAGTGATGTTGGTGCATTGGCTATGAGCAAATCTTTTGTCATAGATGGATTTTTAGAGAAATTCAAAAGCATTCCCAAAATATGGTCTTTAGTTTCTCCACTTCCCACAGTTAACAAACGAAAAAATTCTGAAATATAATTTGTAACCATATGCTGATATTCACTAATAATAGTCAGGTGCTTTATCAATCTTAGTCCAGCCAGCTGCACATTTGAATTCAAGGGATAGGTGACGGTATCTTCACATACTTGGTTTAGATATGTTTTAACTTTCCTATGATTTTCAGCAGCCACCGAGATGTTATTTAGTGCATTTAAAGCCTTCTGCCTAACACTGGGGTGGGGATTATTGAGCAAGCTTTCAATAATTGAGATTCTACCTGCGTTACGAATGACCTCGTGGGAAAATGGATAATCAGGACTGTTATACAGAGCATTATTGGCTATTTCATGAATAGAAGGATCTTCAGTCATCTCAATCATGCATATAAGTTTTTCAAGCTCTCGTGGATCCATATTAGTTTTATGTTTACAGCGGCAGGCCCAGGGCTGAGCTTTCTCTCCAGACCTGATCTGCTTTCTGAGCTCACCTTCAGGGAGTAAGCAGGGCTCATTTTGGTATGGAAATTTCATTTCCGTCCAGATCATGGTTCCTGCCCATGACCCCATTCCTGCTCCAGGAACCATGGATGGATATGTGCCTCTAAACTCAGATGATGTTTTGGCTTTCATCTTAGGTGCAGGTTTGTCTTCCCTTCTGTTTTCATTACCATCCTTGAACCAAGACTTTACATGGACTCCACCAGCAGCCTCAAGCTTATCCTTGGAGCTGGCCTTATCTCCAGCCCCACACTCAAAACTGACATTTTTCTCACTGTTGGATCTGTACTCAGTACTGTTCTCACTCTCAGCCCAAAACAAGGACCTTAAACTGATCTCCTCAATATCAGGGCTGGATGCTCTACTTAGCTCATCTATATCCTCAGCCAAAGTCCAGGACCTCATGCCAGGCTCTTCCTCAGCTCCAAGCCTAGACCCTGTGGTGGTTGCATCTGCATCCCAGAGCCAAGACTCTTTCCTGGCCTCAGCTCCAGCCTCAGCTCCCATACAGGAGTCCACAAAGGCCTCTTCTTCAGATCTAATCCAGGACCCAATATTTGCCTTGTCGTCAACCTCAAATTTGGAACTAACGATGCTCTCTTCCTCAGCCCCAGATCTGGATTCAATACTGGGTTCATTTTTACTTCCAGGCCTAGACACAATACCAGCCTCTACCCCTCTCCAAAACCAGGACCCTGTACTAGCCTCATTCCCAGCCCCAAACCAGTATCCTTCATTGGCTTCCATCCCAGCACTGACCTGGGACCTTCCACTGGCCTGATCCCCAACCCTAGCCCGGGACCCTCCACTTGTCTGATTCTCAGGCCCTAACCTAGATCTAGGCCAGGATTTTCTACCAGCTTCATCCCTAGTGCTAGCCCGGAACCCTCCTCCACTGGCCTGATCCTCAAATCCAGGTTTGGAACAGCTACCTGTCTGATCCACAGCCTCAATACAGGACCTTCCACTAGCCTTTTTCCCAGTGTCATCCCGGGACCAAACATTGGACTGATCCACAAACCCTGGCCTAGACCCTCCATCAGCCTGTTCCCCAGCCCTAGCACAGGACCCATCACTGGACTGGTCCATAGGCCCCAACCTGGACACTCCACTGGCTTGATCTGCAGTGTCAGCCCAGGACCTTCCATTGGACTGGTCCTCAGACCCCAATCTGGACCCTCTACTGCCCTGGCCACCAGCCCCAGCCCAGGATACATTTTCACTGGCCTGATTATCAAATCTAGGCTTGGATTCACCACTAGATGTATCATCAGTCCCAACCCAGGACCCTCCACTAGCCTTGTCCACAGCCTCAGCCCAGTACCCAATACTAGGCACATTTCCAGCCCTAGCCTCAGTCCAGGAACTTCCATTTGCCTGAATCCCATCCCCATCCTGGTACCTTCCACTGACCTGCTCTTGAACCCCAGGCAATGACCCTCCTTTGGCCTGATTCTCAGACACTGTCCAGGACCCTCCAATGGCCTCTTCTCCAACCCACGACACCCCACTGTCCTGGCCCCCAGCCAGGGAACCCTTACTGACCTGACCTCCCGTCCAGGGTTCCCCAGTAGCCTGGTTCCTAGAGCCAACCCAAGAACCCCCACTGACCTGGTTCTCAGCCCCAGTCCAGGAACCTCCAATGGCCTTGTCTCTAGCCCAGAGATCCCCACTAGCTTGGTCCCCAGATCTATCCCAGGATCCAATACCAACCTCATTCTCAGCCCTAGCCCCAGCCCAGGACCTAATACCAGACTTATCACTAGCCCCACTCCACAACTCAATACTGGCTTCATTCTTATCATCAGCCCAAGACATGCTATTGTCCCAGTATCCATCCCTGACTTGAAACCTAAATTTGATCCATCGCTCAGAAGCAATCCAATCTTCAATACCAATTCCACTCCAGTAATACTCATGGACCATAGGCTGTGTCTTTCCACAGGCCTGAGCACCAGTCCCACCCTCACTCTCAGAAGTGGGCATGGCCTTAGGCTTGGGATTTGCATAGACAACACCTTCTTCTGTGGCTTCTGCCTTAGACTTGGATATAGCTTTGTCCTTTGCACCAAGCAAGGGCTTACTCTGGAAAAGGACCATGGACTGAGGCTGGCCAGAGCCCATAGTATCTGTCCTGGTCTCTACCTTAGACTCAGCATTAGGATTGCCCTTGACCTTACTCCTGGCACCAAGAACGGCCTTACCATGGGAACTGTCTGAAGCCTGGGGCTGAGCAGAGCTTGTTGTATCTGCTCCAGCCTCTAACTTGCACACAGTGGAATTGCCCCTGACTTTATTCTTGGCACCAGGCAAGGCATCACCCTGAGAACTGGCCACAGCTTGAGGCTGGACAGAGCTTGTTGCATCTGCCATGGCCTCTGCCTTAGACACAACATTGGGATTCTCCCTGACCTTATTCTTGGCACCAGGCAAGCCCTCACCCTGAGAATTGGCCATAGCTTGGAGCTGGGCAAAACCCACTGCATCCGGCCCAGTCCCTGCCTTAGACACAGCATTGGGATTGTCCCTGACCTCAATCTCAGTACCAAACAAGGCTGCACCCTGTGAACTGGCCACAGCTTGGGGCTGGCCAGAACCCATTGTATCTGGCCCAGCCCCGGACTTAGACACAGCATTGGGATTGCCCCTGACCTTATTCCTGGTATCAGGCAAGGCTTCACCTTGGGACTTTGGCACAGCCTGTGGCTGGGGAGAGCCTATTACATCTGGACCAGCTACTGCCTCAGATACAGCACTGGCATTGCCCTTGACTTTATTCCTGGAACTAGGCAAGATATCACCTTGGGAATTAGATACAACCTGGAGCTGGGCAGAGCCTGTTGCATCTGCACTGGCTTCTGTCTTAGACACAGTATTGGGATTGTCCCTGACCTTATTCCTAGCAACAGGTAAGGCTTCACCTTGGAAATTAAACACAACGTGGGGCTGGGCAGAGCCTGTTGCATCTGTTCTGGCCTCTGCTTTAGACACAGTATTAGAATTATCCTTGAGCTTATTCTTAGTGCCATACATGGCCTCACCCTGTGAATTGGTCACAGCTTTGGGTTGGGCAGAGTCCACTGTATCTGGCCCAGCCCCTGACTCAGACACAGCATTGGGAATGCCCCTAAACTTATTCTTCGCAACAGTTAAGGCTTCACCTTGGGAATCAAACACAGCCTGGGGCTGGGCAGGGCCTGTTGCATCTGCTCTGGCCTCTGCCATAGACACAGTATTGAGATTACACCTGACCTTATTCTTAGTTCCAGGCAAGACCTCACCCTGAGAATTGGTCATAGTCTGAAGCTGGTCATAGCCAGTTGCATCTGGCCCAGCTCCTGCCTTAGACACAGCATTAGGATTGCTCTTGACCTTATTCCTGGCACCAGGTAAGGCCCCACCCTGAGAATTGGCCTTAGCTGGGGGCAGGGCAGAGCCCACTGTATCTGGCCCAGCCCCTGATTTAGACACAGCATTGGAATTGCCCTTGACCTTATTCTTAGTACCAGGTAAGTCCTCACCCAGGGAACTAGCTACAGCCTGGGGCTGGGCAGAGCCTGTTTTATCTGGCCCAGCCCCTGCCTTAGACACATTGGGTTTGCCCCTGACCTTATTACTGACACCAGGCAATGCTTCACCTTGGGAATTTGATCCAGCCTGTGGCTGGACAGAGTCCATTGTATTTGCTCCAGTCTCTGCCTTAGACACAGCATTGGGATTGCCCTGGAGCTTATTCGTGGCACCAGGCAAGGCCTCCTCCTGGGAATTGGCCATAGCCTGGGGCTGGGCAGAGCCCACTGTATCTGGCCCAACCCCTGACTTAGACACAGCACTGGGTTTTCCTCTGATCTTATTCCTGGCACCAACCAAGCCTTCGACTTGGAAATTTGACATAGCCTGGGGTTGTTCAGAACCTGTCCTATTTGCTCCAGTCTCTATCTTAGACAGGGCATTGGGATTTCCCTTGACCTTATTACTGGCACCAGGTAGGGCCTCACCCTGAGAATTGGCCACAGCCTGGGGCCAAGCAGATCCTGTTGTATCTGTTTGAGGCTTGGCAGAGCCCATTGTGTCTGGCCCAGTCCCTACCTTAGACACAGCATTGGGATTGCCCTGGACCTTATTCTGGATACCAGACAAGGCTTCATCCTGGGCACTGGCCATAACCTGAGGCTGACCACAGGCCCTTATTTCTGCCTTAGCCCCGGCCCTCAACCCATTAGGATCTCCCCTGTCATCAACCCTAGAATCAGGCAAAGCATCATCTTGGGTCTTGGCCCCCCTCTGAGGCTGTGCACAGGTTTTCATGTCTATCCCAACCTTTGCCTTACTCTTGCCTTTGGCTTTGCCCCTAGCCTTAGCTCTAGTACTAGGTAAGGCCTCAACTTGGCTCACAGCAGAAGCCTGAGACTGTGCCTTTGTGTCTGTCCCAGCCTCCTCCTTAGACATGGTGCTGGCATTGCCAGCCTTAATCCTGACATCAGAAAAGGCATCACCCCGGACACTGGCCATAGGTTGAGGCTGTGTATAGGACAATATATCTGTTTCAGCCCCTACTTTAGAAATGGCATTGGAATTGCCTCTGGTCTTAATCCTGGAATCAGGCAAAGCCTCAGCCTGAGAAATGACCCTCAAGTTTGCCTTGGCCCCTGTTTTAGATACGGCATTGGAATTGCCTCTACCCTTAACCCTAGCATCAGGAATAGTCTCAGGCTGAGCAACAGCCTTAATTTCAGCTCCAGACATTGCCCTAGATGTGACATCGGTATTTCCCCTATCATCAACCCTGGCACCAGACATTGCCTCAGCCTGTTTCTTGGCTACAGTTTGAGGTTGTGTAGAAGCTCTCATATCTGTTCCTGCCTTACACATGGCATTAGTATTACCCCCAGCATCTACCCTTACCCCAGCCATGCTCTCAGCCTGAGCCTTGGTTACAATCTGAGACTGGGCAGAAGCCCTGTCTGCCCCAGACCCTGCCCGAGATATCATTGTGCGATTTCCCTTGGCTTTAACTCCAGCAGAAGGCACATCATCAATATGGACCTTGGCCACAGGCTGAGATGGTACATAAGACCTTATATCAACTCCAGCTTCCGCTCTGGATATGGTATTAAGATTTCCCTTAGCATCAACTGTGGTACCAGGCCTGGCCTCAGACTGAGTCTTGACCACATTCACAGTCTTTTCCAGGGCTCTTGTTTTGGTCTCAGCCACAATTCCAGTCTTGTTTATGGCATTCATCTTGGCCAATTCTCTGGTCATTGCCAAGGCCTCATTCTGTGTCATCAGTACTCTGTTCATCTCTGTCTCTTTTTCAGCAAATATATAAGCTTCAACTTTGGTCTGGGTCATTGCTTCTTTCTTGGCCTCTTCCCTGACAAACAGTCCCCAAGCTTTAGCCTTGGTCTGGGTCACTGCCTCTTTCTTGACTACTCTCTCAGCCTCAGAGTCAGTTTGGGTCACTGCCTCTTTCATGGCCACTTCCTTGGCTTTGACTTTGGCCTCAGCCAGAGTCACTGCCTCTGTCATGACCACTATTTTGACTTCAGATTGGACCTCTGCCTCTGCCCCAGCCATTGCCTTGTCCTGAGAGTTGGCTTTGGGTCTGGCCCTAGCACTGGCCTTAGTCTCTACTTCAGCCCCAGCCCCACCTCCTGTTCCAGTTCCTGCTCCAGTCTTGGCCTTGGATCTAGTCTCAATCTCTGCCCCTTCCATTGCTTCACTCGTGGCCAAGGTCTGGTTCTGTACCCCAGCCAGAGTCTCCATTTTGACTCTAGACCCATTGCTGGCAAGTCTCCTCACACTCTGGGCTCTTCCCTTGGTTAATCTGTAAATGTAGTAGCAGGTACCAGCCCAGATCACCAGTCCTGCAGTCACCCAGCCCACTTCCTGAATGCGACCCATGTAATCACCCCTGCTGAAGGCACAAATAAGGTACAGAGGCCTCAGGTGGGCTGGGGAAAGAGGGTGGTAGGTCTGGGTGTAGGCCTGTAAGGGTGCTGGTCTTCAGTTCAAAGGCCACTACAGCTGCCACTGGAGGTGGACCTAGAAGTGGAGGAAGGAAATGGACTAAAATGTCTCTTCTATTTCTGTGCATCATACAGACAGATACACAGAAGGGCAGGAAAGTGTTGAAATAATGTGCTTGATAGGATAAGATAATCATTAGAAAGCTCTCTCTCCATTTTATCTCCTCCCCATTTTCCCTAGTACTCAACAATTTTCCCCCAAGATACTTCCATTGACATTTCCTTACACCAAATAAATAGTGAAAAGGATAGTGAGAGGGTTGGCTGTAAATGGGAGAGACTGAGAAGCCCTCAGACCTTGATTTTTACTGGACCTACTCTGACCACCATTCCCACAGGTCCTTACCCCCATACCAACCTGTATTGATCTGAGGCAGTTTCCTCCTCTTTCCTTCTCTTGATTGGTGTTACACTCTAAAATAGATCTATATACTCTTTAGATCTATGTACCTAGAGGTAGACAGACAGACAGATGGAAGGACCGATGGGGGTGGGGATTTTGTTCTTTATGCGACTGCCATATTATTATAAAACTCTCTCTCTAGCCCCCCTCAGTTCACCCCACTCCCTGTACCAAAATAAAAGTGAGGGTGTGGGGTGACAGGAATGGTGGGAAAGGTGGCTGGAAAAGAGAGAGGCTGAGGATCTTCCAGCCTGGACAGTGGACCTACTGGATACAAACTGGCCTCCACTAACCCACCCTAGAGGTCTACCCAAGCAGGCCCCATCCTCTTACCAGTGTCTACTGATCAGGGGCAACTTCCTCCTTATTTCTTTGCTTCCAGTCATCTCAAGCCTTGCAGCAAACCTGCAGGCAGATCTATGGACAAATAAACAAACAGAATACTTCATAGAACAGACAAGTACCCTGATCCCTGACCCCAGTACCTACCTTGCCAAAAAGCCCAGGTCCAATTTGCTAATGTATACCATTTTATCACCCCCCACATCCTCTTCTTTCAGTCACACTCCAGCCCACCCTTACCCCAATATCCCTAAATGTTTCCTTCATTTAAATCAGTATGGGCTGTGGCAACACTGTGGAAATCTGGCAGAGGGTAGGAGAAGCAGAAGTACCATCTATTAAAACCCTTTCAAGTCTCAGCCACATCCTATCCCCACCCTCTCAGGCACTGCCCACCTTCACACAAACCTCCATGGTTCTAGGTCAGTCTACCCCTTTCCCTTGTTTCCAGTGGTAAACAGCCTTGCTGTAGATGTTTGGGAAGATCTAGGAACAAACAGAGTAAAAGAGAAAGGTGAATGTTCAGTGCTTGTGACATCCCAGCATTTAAGACACAGGCCTCAGTACCTGCCTTATAGGATTTAGAAACCCACTCCCTGGCAGGCAGAACCTTGGGCTTTCCCAACACTGAAGTGGGCAGGGTGGAAAAGAGAAGCAGGAAAAATAAAAGGGGAGTGACATGGGCAAAATCTTTTAAAACCACCTGTAGGATTCTAGAGCATCTCCCAAAAGTCCATCATTTCCTTCACCAAGATACTCAGACAGGAAGGGGTATATAAAACTGGAGGATGGCAAGTGAGATGGAGGTCCCCATATTCCACACCCTTATCATAGCCTACTGCAGCAGTTCTCAACCTTCCTAATGCCGCGACCCTTTAATACAATTCCTCATGTTGTAGTGACCCCCAATCATAAAATTATTTTTGTCACTACTTCATGATTGTAATTTTGCTACTGTTATGAAACATCGTCGGAAATATGTGTTTTCCAATGGTCTTAGGCGACCCCTGTGAAAGGGTCGTTCGACGCCAAAGGGGTCGCGACCCACAGATTGAGAACCGCCTTACTGCCATCTACTTTTCCTTAAACCCAGCTCTAGAAATCTCAAGTACAAGAGACAAAGTGTGGGGGAAGGCTTTTGCTTTTGCAAAATCACTATCCCTCCCCAACAAAGTCAGTTTCTTTCTCTCTCTCTCTCTCTCAATAAATAATAATGTTCCTTAATACAACAATTTGTATATTCTCAATATTATCTGAAGTGCAAATTAAATCATCCCTAGAAAAGTTTGCTATCTTTACTGGTCTTCAATATACAATTTAAGTTTAAAATCCTAAGCTTGGTAAGTAAATGCAGTAAGGGGAAGTCCCCTAGCTAGCCTCACCCCATATTCCAACTAGATAGTGGCACCTAAGTATCTGTCATATAGAATTCACATCGAACTTAGGTGGTTCACAGACAGTGCCCATGCTCACACTAACCTCCACAGATCCTATGCAGCTTCCTCCATTCCATCTTCCCTCACCTGGCCACAAACTGCCACACCGAACTACTGTCCTTCTCAAGTCTCAAGACAGGAGTAAAGGCACTGAGTGCTTGGACCAGCACCCTGGACACAGATCCCAATACCCGCCGGTCTGGATTCAGAACCCTTATCAAACGATCCTCCCAATATTCCGGTAAGCCACCACCACCAATCCTGCCATCCAGTCACTAAAGCCCACCATTTTCTCTGCGAATGCCACCATGGCATGTCCCTTCTACTGAAATCAGCAGGAAGCTGAGTGGACATGTGCAATCAGTGATTCGAGTCAGGAAGGGGCATCTCAATCTCGATATTTACTTCTTGAGACACTGCCCGCACCAGCTGCCCTGTCCGAGTCCATGGTTCCTCTCCACACACTAGGCAGGGGGAGGGGTGCTCCTAAGAATCAGAGGAAAGGCTCTTGGAACTTGAGCCTGCATTGTTCCCCACCCTTGGACCGGCCTCCGGGGTTGGGGGCGGCTGCCGTCCTGGCCTCCGAGAGGCCCCAGGCCCTTACCTGCTCCGCCTTCCCGGCCCAAAGCCAGCCCGCCGTGTGCCGCGCAGCCGGGAGCTGGTACCCAGAAGGGAGTGACGACTGCACTGAAGGCTGCGCTGCTCTGCAGCTCGGGGTCACGTGAGGGCCGTGCGTCACCAACGAGCTCGCCCCCTGCCCCCACTGGCCCGTGAGGAGTTCGACAGGACCCTCCCCCCACTCGGCTCGCACAGCTCCCCTCCAACTCTCTGCCCCGCCGACAGCGCACCTTCTTGCCACTCAGTCTGGTCCTCTCCAATCTGAGGGCCCACAAGTGGCCTCACCTCCCTGCGGTCGGGATTTGTTCTCTGATTACCTGGAAGGGTCTGATTCCCCGACCTACACCTAGGCTTTGACCCTGTTCTTTTCTAATGTTTCTCTAAGGAATCTTCTTTCTCTCCTAGGCTATAAGACGAATGTTCCCCATCAGGTACCCTGCTGCACCAAACTGAGCTAAGAAAGGGATGTCAGGAAAGGAAGCAGAAAGTGCCTTTTTTTTTTTTTTTTTTTCACTTTTAACATTACATTCATTGTTTTTTAATCTGGAAATGCAGTCAAGCCATTTTCATTTGATATTTAGAAATGAGTTCGTTTTTTTTTACTCATTTTTTTACATTATTTTTGCTCCACATTAAAAAATGTTTTGTAGTTGCTATAAATGATTTTACAGCTTTCAAAACAATCTAGTAATTATTGACATTTTAAATACAAAATTTTCCTAAGCAAAACCAGCACGTTTTCAATGTGATCTATAAATTAATCTTTGGAAAGACAGTTTTCTAATCTTGGCAGTTTTCCACAAGTAATTTACAGCCTTTTGAAGTTCTGGCTGAACTTGCTCTGTGTCAGGTGTCTGAGAACTTCATAGATGACTCCTGGCCGATTGAATGAAGACCCGGCTCCAGATAAACCCAGTGCCTGAAAACTAGTGACTTTCTAGATTAACCGGTTTTCTATTCAAGGAGTTTTATTTTTGATTTTACGTGAGTATATGGTCAAAGTAGTCTGTTTCATCACACCCTGGAAAGGACCGACTGCTATCCCATTGATGGAAATGAGGTTTAGCAGGTGGACTTTTCATTTAATTATGATGCTAGTGTGTTATCTCTGGTATCTGTCATTCATATGCTATATCACCCAGCATGCTCCAGTGGAGATAGCAGGTGAGGGTCTGTGGTGTCTGTAAATTACTGCAACGCCCCTGAGATCCACGTCATTCTTCCCTCACAGAAAGCACAGTTTACAAAAGCCCAAGCAGTTACCAAGAAAAAGGCCTTTTGTTACAATTTCACTGCACCACCCATTCAAGCGCCTCAGAATAATTCCAGAATTCAGGGACAAAGTATTCAGAAGTTAGTACCCAGACAGCCAGCTGTCCCCACTGGGGAGTCACACTCTGAAATATGACACTTCAGCAGGAAGTTCCCCATGTGAAAGGCTCCTGTGTGGGGGAGGCCCCTCTAGGAGGTGAGCCAGGGAACCCAGAGTGAGATAGAAACTTACTAATGGCTTTTCAGAAGTCAATTGCCCATGACTAACTTGTTCTTCACCAAAGGGAAAGATTCAGAAATCGATTACATACATAAACATTTAAAACTTCGGTAAAGTAAAAACAAAAAAAAACAAAACAAACAAAAAAAACAAGCTAACAAAGCCATAAGCATAGGGTGTCAAATGGCTAATTTGTACTAATCTAAACAAACTCATAATAATAAAATAATAAACAACCCAATAGAAAAATGTGCCCACAACATGAATGGGTTTGTTCACAGAAAAGAAATACAAATTACTGATAAACATATGGAAAAATGTTCCATCTCAAAGAAATGCAAGTCGAAACAACTATGTATTACCATGTTTCAGCTAGGAGTTTGTCAAAATTTAGAAATGTGGCCCTAGCCGGTTTGGCTCAGCGGTTAGAGCGTCGGCCTGCGGTCCGGAGAGACCCGGGTTCGGGTCCCGCTAAGGGCACGTACTTCGGTTGCAGTTTGTCCCTGGCCCTGGTTGGTCGTGCGGGTGGCAGCCACTCAATGTGTCCCTTCACGTCAATGTTTCTCTCTCTCTCTCCCTTCCTCTCTCTCCCTCCCACT